GTTCACCCTATACATGCACATATTGTGTTCAGTCAAAAGTCCAAGCAAACCCTCACACAGATATCTGAAACTCTATCTCTTAACTCTCTGCAAATTCTAGTTCTCTTGGCCTTCCCAAAATTCTCTGTCTCTTCAACTAGGGCAGACTGGTGAGCTTCATTTGGGTTTCTCTTCTGTGTTCCAAAGTCTGGAAATTGTCATCTGGTAGAAATCCTGGCTGAAGGTAGGGCTCATCTCTGTGTTGCCTTCTCCAAGGAATTAAAGTCCTACACATCCTGCCAGTGTCTGACAATGGTTGTTTCTTATAGTTATTCCTGCTTTTTAGTCATTGATGGAAGGAAGATTACTCCCATATGGCCAAAAGAGGAAATTCTTCCCCTTTAATTTTTCATGTAATAAATTCTGTTGATAGTTTTCCTGACACTCAACTATATTTGCAGTCCTAGGAAAAGCCCTACTTGGTCATAGTTTGTTAATCTTTTTATACAAATCTGAAATTTATTTGCCAACATCCTATTTAGCACTTTTACATCTAACACTTAGTTTTTGGGCCATAGTTTTTGATTTATTGTGTTCTCTATTAACTATATGATCATGTTTTGTTATTAAAGTTATGATGACTTCATCAAGTAGACTGGGAAATAGTACATATTTTTCTTTAGTTTTGATTATTTCAATACCATTAAAGTTGCTTGTTTTAAAAAAATTAACTAGAACTCATCAGTGCAACCATCCTTTCCTTTTTAATGATAAATCTGAAATTATCTTTCACATCCCTTTTATGGAGGTTGGTCTATTCAATCTTTCTACTTCGAGGCATTAATTCAATTAATATAATTTTGCCAGAAAGTATCCCTTTCCTTTAGGTTTTAAAAACTGTCGTAGAGTTTCACAGAATATTTTCCCAATGTGTGTTAATTTGCAAGTTCTATTTTACTTTCCATGGAATAAATAGTTATATTCCTTTCCCACGCCTCATAATACATGTAATGTTTTAATATTATGTGAGAAAAAAGGATACCAAGTAATCCCTCCAACAGAAACATTTTATTCCCCACCTTTCCTTTCTCATTTCTTCTTTCTCCCCAGAATCAGGTCCTTAGGATGCTTTCAGGTCACCACTCACTCACTCCTAACCCATTCTGAGGACTCTGTTAAGATTTATTTGTTATTTAAAAGTCTTCTCAAGTATTTTTCTCAGATGGAATGTGAGAGTGCTCTATTCTTTAAATTCTTGCAAATATTCTTCTTTGACCAGACAAGCAAATGATCTTTTGGCAGGCTATAAAATATTGAAGCTGTGCTATGGTTTGACTGTGTCCCCCGAAGTTCACGTGTTAGAAACTTGATCCCCAGTGAGAAGGTGTCAGGGGTTGGGGCCTTTAAGAAGTGTTCAGGTCACAGGGGCGCCACCCACATGGGCAGGTTAATGCCATTACCATGGGAACAGGTTTCTTATCGCGGGAGTGGGTTTCTTATAAAAGGACAAGTTCAGCCCCCTCTTGCCCTCTTATCTTGCCCTCTCTCTGCCCTTCCACCATGGGATGATGCAACAAGAAGGCCCTCACCAGATGCCACTGTCTTGATCTGGGCCTTCCCAGCCTCCAGAACCGTGAACCAATATATTTCTGTTCCTTATAAATTATCCAGTCTGTGGTATTCTGTTATAGCAACAAAAATGGACTATGACAGGGTGACTTCTTTTACTTTTAGTAGGCTGTAGAATTTGTTTCACATTATTTTCACCTGTAAGGTTGTAGAAAGAAGTCCAATGCCAATCTGATTCTTTTTCCTTTACAATTAAGCTGTTCTTTCTGTCTGGGAGCTTATAAAATGATCTTTTTTTTTTTCCTTCTGAGTTAAGAATTGTGTCTGTATATAATGGGGTCTTTTTTCATGAGTGTCATCATAATTCTAAAATCCTTTCAATCTGTAATTTTATATCTTTTTTTGGTTCAGGGAAATGTTTTCCAACTATGATTTTTTCCTCTACCTGTGTTATTTCCTCATTCTGAGATTCCTGTTATTCACAAGTTAGGTCTTCTGGATTTATCCTCGAGCTCTCTTACCTCCATATAGAATTCATTAAATCTTCATTTTCTCCGATTCTCCAGTCTACCCTTCCCAAAGCATCAGTAATATATTACTTACAATAAAAAATACTACAGAATTTGAATATGGCCATCTTCCAGTAGTACTAAATGGGAAAAAGCTCATAATTCACTATAATAATCACATAATTAAAATTACCAAAGAATATCAACAATAAATAAATATATGTTATTAAAGAATAGTACAAAATTACAAGTATAAAATTTAATATTAGTGGACTAAATGGGGTAAATTATTACATAAAAAGAAGTTTCTTCAGAATTTCTATTGAGAATAGAAACATCACATTTATCACTTTTCAAGTGATGCACTTTTACAAACCACATGCAGCAAGACCCTTATTCAAATATGTTAATAAAATATGTGTACATACATGTCAGATAATCTTAAAATGTTAGAGCCTAAGATCAGCTCCTTTCCCCTGATTTACCGCCCCCCTCCCCGCCCCCCACAACTAAGGCTAGACTGCTCTAGGACAGAATGTGGAAAGAAAAACCTTTCTTCTCTGAATTCATTCTTTAGACTCACAGAGACTGTTTTGTTAATAATCAAGTATTGTAGTCAAAAGCAAATAGGAAAGCAACTCAATTTTTCATTGAAAAACATTTATCAAAAAAAGAAAAACATTTATCTGTTTTAAAAAATGCAAAAGCTGTTACTGCATTTTAAATGTAATTGCTCTCATTGCTAAAGAACATAATTTGGGTGAATAGGAAGTTTCAGAGGATCATTAGGCACTTTACACAAAAGAGAACATCTGCAGTCATCCCAGGAATGATGAAATTACAGGGTTATCAATCCTTGTGCTTCAGGGCATGGACTCATCACCAGCTGGAAGACAGAAGATATTCCCTCAATGGTATAATATTTCTATAATATTATCAATTACATTTCAATTTTTATTCCCCTTTAAACAAGTCATTGGGATGCTATAAAGCACATTATGGCCAAATAGTGCAACATGAGGGTAAAATCTTCAAAGGCCTTCAAAAATATTTTAAAGAAATGAATTCAAGAAAAATAGTAAACTTTTGGCCAGGCGTGGTGGCTCACACCTGTAATCTCAGCACTTCAGGAAGCTGAGACAGGTGGATCATTTGAGGTCAGAAGTTTGAGACCAGCCTGACCAACATAGTGAAACCCTGTCTCTACTAAAAAAAAATACAAAAATTAGTCAGGCATGGTGGTGCACACCTGTAGTCCCAGCTACTCGGGAGGCTGAGGCACGAGAAACGCTTAAACCTGGGAGATGGAGGTTGCAGTGGGCCAAGATTGTGCCACTGCACTCCAGCCTGGGGAACAGAGCAAGACTCCAATCTCAACGAAAAAAAAAAAAGAGGAAAAAAAGTAAACTTTCAGGGAAGGTAAGCAGACTATCATAGAAGTTAACAAAGAGCATTTTGTGTACTTATCACATTCAGAGCTTGAAGAGAGTAGAACTCAGCACTTGTTGAATGAATGAACAAAGGAACAAACTTATATGTGCCTGGGTTCCAATCCCAGCCTCACCATATTTGACCTTGAGTACTTAAGTGTCTTTGTGTATCCTCAGTTTATTTATCTGTAAAATGGGAATAATTGTGCCTACCTCTTCTTGTAATTATAGGGATTTAACCAAGTAATGTATATGAATAAATAAACCCCCTGTTTGGAACAGGGTGAACTCTCAACAAATGAGTCATTTTAAGAGCTCTCCTAAGATTGACTGATTTAGCTAATTCCTAACCAAACAGATCTAATAAAATCATCTCAAGCGACTTCATAATAGACCAACTCTTACTATATTGACTATATTATAAATCTATGTTGTTCTTTTTGTGAACCCAACACTGCATTACACCATGAGACATCCTCTAAGATTCTCCTTTACTTTGAACTAAGCATAAACTTTCTGCTAATAAGATCTCTTAGATGATATACTATCATAAGCAGAGTTCAAACTCATACGAAGTGTAACAGCTGCTCACCTTGCTGGTCCAGAGTATTGTGATTTGTGGTCAAATGCATACAAAAGCCATAAAAGGACACTCCTTTCTAATATTTTCTCAATAATTAACTTTCATTACAATTCAATTAAATTATACTATATTAAATTAAGTATAAGTAATTTATCTTGGGACCTATAAATTAAGTGTATCCTACAAGTGCAGCTAATGTCCCAACCATACCTGAAGAAATTTTATCTGTGTCTGTAAACAGAGTACATATACCTTTGGATGCTCTGGTCTCCACTAGTTGAAAGCCAGCTTAAAAATAAATCATATCACATGTATGATTAACATGGCTTTAAATAACAATGGGGACTTTATTCCCCCACACAATGATCCTACTGTTCTCTTTGCAGCTAAAGATGTTGAAAAGATAACCTAGTTTATGGGACAATTTCTACAAGGGCAGTGTTATAAAATGTCCATTTTTTTTTTCTGGACAATAAAGTACTTTTAAATTATCAACATAGCTGCATATAATGAAGTTATCTCGTCTGGAAGGTGGAAAATTGGAACATTTCTAGAACTTGCAAAGAATTTTTGTCCTGTCCTTCATGAATCACTCAGCAAAAGCCAGCTATGTACTATTTCAAATGTTACTACCTCAGAATGTCACTTGACTCAAAGATTTTCCTTTCCTTTTCTTCTTCCTCCCTCCCTTTCTTCCCTTCCTTCCGCCTTTCCTTTTTCCCCTCTCTTCCTTCCTCCCTCCCTCCCTCCTTTTACAGGGACTAACACTAGAACCACCGCCTCACCACGCCCCTCATTGGCGGAAACAGAAAGGCACACCATGCTGTAAGCTATGGCAGATGCTCAGGGCACGTGGGGTTGAATAATGCTGTTTGGAGTCAAACACTGAGACTCCGCAGCCACACAGTGATTCATTTACAGAGCTTTACTAAACTACGGGCACTCAGAAATAGACAAACTATTCTTGCCTCAATAGAACCAAAGGCCTTGCGGGCCTCGTGAAAGCTCAGCCAGGTGCTTTGGGAGGCCGGGAGGAGGAAGAGAGATCCGTGGAAGGAAGCACGTTCACACCATGTCACTGAGGCCTCTGGGCCGAGGTATAATTTAAAGCATGAAACGAAGGGGTCATAGATTCTGACTAATGCTGACCATTTCCATCGGTTACCCAGCTGAATCTTATGGCGACACTAGGAAATCGACTTTATACATGCTCTTTAGGAAACGAGGGACGCAGGATGAAAGAAGCCAAGAGTGTCGCCAGGCCTTGCACCAGCGCCGTCAGACTCCCGGGATGGGGGAGCTCCAGGGCACGGAGTCAGCGGATTTACTGAGAGGGAGAAAAGCCCCACTGCCGTGCAGAAGCCTAGGCCCGGGTGAGGCGCCTGCGAAGGCTGCCAGCAGCGGAAGAGAAGGGGCGTCCTCCGTGTTGCGCAGCATGCGCCCGCGGTAGGTGGGCGCGGAGCTCAGAGCTGGGAGCCAAACGCAAACGCTGGCGAGAAGCCCCAGCCCCCTCCGCCAGCCCACTCGCTGCGGGGAGGGGTTTCTCACGCCCTCAGCTCCTGGGAGACTGCACCGGAGGTCGGAAGGAAGCGGAGCGAGGATGAGTCATCCCGCCTAATTCCTCCTTCCCGGTCCCCCTAGCCTCCGCACGCCGGCCCCCTCCAGAGATCATGCAACCGCGAGCGAAGACTCCCCTATATTCAGACTCTGCCGAACCCCCTGCGGCCTGCGGAGACGAGGAGACGGACGGGTCTCGTGGCCAATGAGAGCTTCGATCTCGTGCCCGCCGTCCAATGGGCCGCGGCTCATGGGCCGGGGCGGGACTAGGAGGGCAGGAGGGGGCGGTCCGGGCTGGCGCGCGGCGCGGCGGCTCCGCTGCAGCGACTCACAGAGCTAGCGCCTCTCCGGGTGTCCTCGCCAGCACTGCGCGGGAAGGCGCCGCCACCACCGCCGCCGCCGCCGCTGGCCAGGGTGCTGGACAAGACGGGCCCGTCGACCACTTAGCCAGCTCAGGCACCCGCTGCAGCCGTCGCTGCCTCCTCCCAGACCGGTCCCCATGGAGGAGATGGAAGAGGAGTTGAAATGCCCGGTGTGCGGCTCCTTCTATCGGGAGCCCATCATCCTGCCCTGCTCTCACAATTTGTGCCAGGCGTGCGCCCGCAACATCCTGGTGCAGACCCCGGAGTCTGAGTCCCCCCAGAGTCGTCGGGCCTCGGGCTCCGGGGTCTCCGACTATGACTATCTCGACCTGGACAAGATGAGCCTATACAGCGAGGCGGACAGCGGCTATGGCTCCTACGGGGGTTTCGCCAGCGCCCCCACTACCCCGTGCCAGAAGTCCCCCAACGGCGTCCGCGTGTTTCCCCCGGCTATGCCGCCACCGGCCACCCACCTGTCACCGGCACTGGCCCCGGTGCCCCGCAACTCCTGTATCACCTGCCCCCAGTGTCACCGCAGCCTCATCCTGGATGACCGGGGGCTCCGCGGCTTCCCCAAGAATCGCGTACTGGAAGGGGTAATTGACCGCTACCAGCAGAGCAAAGCTGCGGCCCTCAAGTGCCAGCTCTGTGAGAAGGCGCCCAAGGAGGCCACCGTCATGTGCGAACAGTGCGATGTCTTCTACTGCGATCCGTGCCGCCTGCGCTGCCACCCGCCCCGGGGGCCCCTAGCCAAGCACCGCCTGGTGCCCCCGGCCCAGGGTCGTGTGAGCCGGAGGCTGAGCCCGCGCAAGGTCTCCACCTGCACAGACCACGAGCTGGAGAACCACAGCATGTACTGCGTGCAGTGCAAGATGCCCGTGTGCTACCAGTGCTTGGAGGAGGGCAAACACTCCAGCCACGAAGTCAAGGCTCTGGGGGCCATGTGGAAACTACATAAGGTGAGTCCTGAGAAAAACCCACTCCTAACTCCCTGCGTCTTCCATCATCCGGTTTTGCAGCAGACGGTCCCCGTCTCTTGCGCACAGCGCATCCCAGTGGGGGCGCAATGCAGGTGCCTTCGATGTTTACCTCCCCGGTCTGGTGCATTGCAGGAGGCACGGGGGAATCTTAACCGGCGCACGGGGGACTTGAATGCCCCCACAGAGTTGTTGCGGGGATGCCTTAGAGCGGGTCTCTCGGGGCGCGCTGCCTGCGAGCGGGACGCAGGACGCCCCCTCTCCACGGCTGGTCTGTAGCCAGTGGCCGCGGCCAGTGTGTTGGAAAGCACTGCGTAGCTGGGTAGAGCCGCGCCAGTGCCCGGGGCCGCTAGGCACGCTCGAGGGCAGGGCGGGCTGCGAACCCCCGGGGAGGGACTGGAGTGGGGGCGGTGAGGTCGCGCGGACGTCGGGAGTCTGTCGCTGATGGATAGGCAGACCTGGTGAGGCACGGCGGAGGGTAGGGGAGACGCCGCGGGCGGAATACTAATGAGCCCGGCTGTGGGCCAGACCTGGCTCTGGAGCTGGAGAGAACGCGGGGTCCTGGTGCCACGTGCTCAAAAGACAGACGGGAGAGGGCAGCCTGCGGTCGCCATGGCAACGCGACGTGCTGACTTGGTCCGGAACCTTTCTGGAGTTGGGACCTGGGACTAGAGTGTCAGGACCGGAATTTGCGAAGTGGCGGCTTGGAAGCCAAGGTGCATCTCCTAGGGAAACCTCCTCCTCCCAACTACACACACACCCACTTCTCCAGAATTCAACCTCTTTCCTCTCAGTAGTTACATGTGCAAATATGTGCAAACTTTGGGACACCTGTTACCAGATTTATCTTTCCAGTCTCTTTTGATGATATTTCCACATGGCTAGACACTAAGAGGCTTTAGCAACATGTTAGGTCGTGCCACTCCTCTGCTCAAAACTCTCCAATTGTTCCTACGCTTCTCAGCCTGTCCTTGGAATGGTCTATGAGGACCTACATGACCTCTTTTCCATTGTGGCCCCCTCGACCTCATTGCCTCCCACTTACTCCCTCTGCTGTAGCCACACTGCTTCTTGCTGTTCTTCAAGTGACGCCAGGCACCTCCCCACCCCAGGGCCCTTGCATTTAGTGTTCATTCAGCCTGAAGCTCTCTTCCCCAGTTACCTGACATCCGAATGAGTCACTTACTTGCATCCTTCAGCTCTTTGCTCAGGTATCATCTTTACAGCGCCACCCACCCAGACACCCGCTAGTTCCCTCTCAGCTTTGGTTTCCTCAGTAGTATTTATCCTTGTGTGGCATGCTATATATTTTAATTATGTTATTTTTGTATTTATCTGTTGCTCCCTGTACACACACAGGCATAAACGAAATAAGCCTCATGAGGAAGATTCTTATAATATGCCCACACTGCTTAGAAGGAAGGGAACCACTCTTGAAGAGATGTGTATGAATTTGCTTTTCATTTTTTTAGGTGACCCATTTAGTTGGGGCTGTGGAGTGCAGGGCAGGGATTCAGGATGATTGGAAGGAGCTTTTTTTACATCACTGAGTTGCATACCCAAGGATGAGATAGAGTAGTGAAGATGGTGCCCAGGCCTCATCTGTGGCCTCACTCAGTCTCCCAGAATACCTTGGAGACTAGAAAGGGTAGCTTTTGCAAGTGGCCAACCCTGGAGTTAAGGCTGGAACATTGATATTTTGTTTACAGCAAGGAAAAAAGTCATTAATTTTCAGCAATCAGTGAAAGTTTTCTCAACTCCTTAACCCAGTTGAATGTGATCCATGTTTACAGTCATTCTATTCTCACATATAACCTATTAAATCATATTAGTACTGATGGAGATTTCATTTAGCACAAATTGAAGCCTAACTGGGCACACACCACTGTTTTCAGAACAGTTGAATTTAAATTTTTGAAAATGACATTTAATTTTGAAAGTTTTCAAAACTTGAGTTCGCAGCCGGTTTTTTATTCATATTTTGATTTCACTTTTAAACTGCTAATTATAGTACCTGTTAAATTGCTCTACAAAGTATCCTTGGAACTAAAAAACTAATCACTCTGGAAAAAGAATTTAGAGTCACAAGCTAATTAGGATGGGTAGACCACAACATTATTATTTTTTTATGATGAGCCTATCCTTGATCTATTAAGACCAAAAGAAACCTTTAAATCTCTGTCAAGCCCCTTGTCAACTTGAAATGTTAAATCATTTGTTTTATTGGCAATAGAAATTATGAGTAGACAGACACTGGTGCTGCCTGAGTTGAAATTTACATATCTACCTACCGAAAAAGAATGTTAAAACCCTTGAGACATGACGTAAGTAGGCTAGAAGACCATTTATTCTCTGATCTTTTGCACATTCTTTCCAAAACAGTAAGTACACATAATTTTTGTTCAGTCAATATGAGGATTACTAAACTGCCAAGAAAAAAAATAAGACAGAAGGATGACATATTTTAACATTCACTTGTCATCTGTTAGATGAACAACAAACATTACTCCTCCACCTTATTTACTTAATAAGGAAGTTAATGTGTTAGCAGCCAGTTTTCTCATATAGTTTATGTTTTAGTTAACGGTACTTCTATCTCCACAAAAACTCATGGTTCAGAATTTCTATGCCCTGCAAGAATAGGACAGCAAAGAATTATACTAACTATACTAATAGGACAGCAAAGAATTATACTAACTGCCCAAAGTTGGGCAGTTAGTTATCAACACAGGTTATTACTAGACCTGAAAAGTTTTCATTCATATTCTATCATATTAGTCATTTCTACTGATAAAGCAAGTCCTGCAGAGAAGTATTTCCCACAGGCGTAAATCATCATCTTACACACTCAAGATACAGTAAAATGGCTGAAGTTTATTTTTAAAGTGGTATTAAAAACATCTGGTTGAAATTCACTAGTTTTCAACTGGCCAGATTAAAATGTTTTTCAGATATTTGTGGCCTTCAAAAATCCATGAAAAATAATAACACATGAATAATAATAATACTGGTCTTATAAGTCAAATATTTGGTAGCAGTTTTTATTTAGTATCAGTACTTGCTATATTCCTTTATTCAACTTAACTCATTAAAAGAATTATAACACCAAAAAAGTGATTTTGTAGATACTTTAAAATGGACAATTGAAACCACTACTATTACTTTGTGATTTTAAGGAGTTCACCTACGTAAATCCTGATATTATCCTTGAATTCCTGGTGTTTCAGTAGTCAGTGAATCAGGGCTGGGTGCAGTGGATCACGCCTGTAATCCCAGCACTTTGGGAGGCTGAGGCAGACAGATCTCTTGAGGCCAGGAGTTTAAGACCAACCTGGCCAGCATGTTGAGACCCCATCTCTACTGAAAATACAAAAATTAACTGGGCATGGTGGCGCATGCCTGTAGTCCTAGCTACCTGGGTGGCTGAGGCAGGAGAATTGCTTGAACCTGGGAGGCAGAGGTTGCAGTGAGACGAGATCTCACCACTGCTCTCTAGCCTAGGTGACAGAGTGAGACTGTCTCAAAATAAAAAAAAAGAAGTCACTGAATCAGTAATATAATTGTAATGATCCTTTTGTGTTCATGCTACTGAGCAAAGATTTTCTTTTCCTTTCTATTCTAAACACTATTCATTCTTAATCTTGTCTCAGATGTTATTTTTCTCTTACCTTTGTTTTTATAAATGAAAATGTGCAATTTAAATAGTATTTTAAAATAAACTGTCAGTTAATATGTCTTCAATTCCAAAATATTCTGGAAAAAAATATCTGCTTAGCTTTATGGTGGCATCTCATTAAAGATTTATGTAGCAAAATGTGTTATATAATGCCACTAAAATGATATTCAGTTAACTCTATGTCAGCAGTAAACACAGTATAGTCTATATATTCCTGTGGTAAATGTAACAGGCAGCATATGTTCATGTTTTTACATTTCTTTTGTACAATTAGAACATTCTGTGTGCCATGTAAACATTTTTACAGATATTAAGGAAAATGTTACAGAGAAGACAGTTACTCCTTTTTATACCTAGGCATAATGGAAATAACTAGATAACAGGAGATTCAGATTTGAGAACCGATGCTGCCACTTACTTGCAGGAAACTTCTTGCAAGTATCATCACCTGTCCGTACTTCCCACCTACAAAGATGTAAGGGAGTTAAAACTATATTTGTGAAAGGATTTTGATAAGGTAATTTAAATGTTTATAATTTACTATTTCAGTTCAACACAACCATAAACTATTCACGTAAAACAGAAGTCAGTGTCTCACCAGTCAACAATTACTGCGTAAAAATCTCATCCCCCAACTTGGGGTGCTTTTCTGGATCCTTTCAGAGCATAGGGTACAGTCCAAAGCTGCTCTGAAAGGTGGCCTAAAAGAGTGAGCCTCTTCCTCATGGGTCCAGAGAGAATATTCAGTTGAATTAAGCTCGAGAAATAAGAATACTATACAAAGATTTATATATTAAACAAAAGTATTCTGTTTCTCTATAAGAAAGCTAGAATAGCTGTTAAGGCTTAGTTTTTTTCATATTCTCCAATAAAGATATTGTTACCAGTTTAAAGTAGCAGAAATTGTTTCTCCTGTATATGCCATGAAAAGATGCTATTAATTGGAATTTCAGGTCAAATCACAGTTTGCATAAAGTAAGAGACAATTATCACAGCCATCTGTTCTTGTGTAATGAGAATAATGTACAGGGAACATTTGTCCTTACCATCAGTATAATACATTGCACTTTCCTCACCTAAACAAGTTGATGGACTTTTCAAAGTGTATATATGCATACAACTTAACTTTGGCATAGAGAAGGATAGAAGAACCTATTACAAGATAAATGTTTAAGAAACCAAATAGTTATAAATAAATATCATTTGTTTATCAGTTTTATCAGGGATTATTCATTGAAAGGATCAGAAACCCACTTAGGTGATCTCAGAGGATTTCATGGGAACTGAAATAAAATCAACTCACAAGGAGAATGGAACTATAAAGCTAGAAACTGAGTTCACGCTCTGTATCAGTCAGGTTGGACTATGCTCCAGTAACAAATCTTCGAATCTCAGTTAATTATAACAGCATCTAATTTCTTACTTATTCATGTTAGTGTCCACTGAGAGTCTTTTTTTTTTTTTTTTGCTTTAGCTTGTTTGTGTTGGTTTCCTGCCACTTGCAACCAAGAAGTCCTGACTTATAAAAGCATATGAGTTAACACATGTAAATACTTTATTTGAAGATTCTAATTTTTATTCATCCTAGATATTGTCTTTAGAATATTTTGCTTAGAAGGCTGCATTCTGATGCCATAAATACAAATAGAGGGGCAGTTTTTGATTTAATGAAGCAGAAATCATATCATATTCAATGCTATCTACCCATTCATCACTGGGTAGCTTTTATTAGCCGTTTGGTTGTTTTCTTCAGCCATTTTTATTGTGAGGTTGTTCACAAAGAGGCCGAAGAGAATTTGTTTTTAACCAACTCGAAATTACTCCATGTATGTAGTGATGACACTTTTAAGAACATTAGGCCAGACCAGAAGGTTCTGAAATCGAACTTCTGCCAATAATTGATTTGTTTGTTTTCAAAGGCAAGGAAACTTCTGAAGATATGTATGAGCACTCCACGATTCTTTTTGTTTTATCTATACTCTAGGTCAGCATTTCTCAAACTCTGCTTCCACAAATTTTCCATAGTTAAATAAGTTTGAGATTCTCCATTCTGAATAGGCTGCTGGTAGTTCACATTGTACATTGTATCAATACACCTATATATACACATCCTGCAGCAAACAAAGCCACTTGATTCAATGTAGCATTTTTCCAAATTTGTCCAACTTTGGAAACTCCCTTAGAGTGCCACACAGGTTTGGAGAACACTAGTTCAGGCAGTTATTAGTGAATAAGTTAGTAAGTAATTGTTATTCATTTTTTGTCTATGTAGGTTAGAATACCTAAAACTATGTCTGCAGCAAACCTATCCTCACATCTTAAATCTTGCTTTAATTCTTAAAGCAAATGTTAAAAGTTAAATTTATTTTATTTTTTAAACATTGAAAGTCAAAGGGGTAAAAATAATTAACATAAGTTTTGTAGTATTTATATGTATGACTGGAATACATGTTGTCCCCCTTTTTATTGTAAATGACAAAAAATGATTTTAGGCATGAGGAATATTAATGTAATATAATAAAAAAAATCACTTCATTCTACTTTAGACTGCTTTTAGGTCTTGTATACACGATACCAAATGACTGGTCTAATTGAGTTTTTCATTAATCTGTGGTAGATAAAAATAGATTGTTTTAAAGATACTTTTGATAAGCAGAAAAAGACAATATTAAAAGCTTAAAACTTTAATATTGCTCTGGGGACAACATAGCATAACAACTTATGAAGGTAAATGCTTGTTTAATACATTCCAGGTTTTGCTAATATTTTTATATTGACATTTGGGGTCAATTTTTAACCTTAGAACAAGAGTTATCTATAGAATGGCCACCACAGTGTATCTACACTATCAGAGACCATCTAGGTTTTGTTAAGCAGCATATCTAATTCAGCCCAAAGGACATCTCAAAGCCAAAATCATTCCCCTGTGCTGTTCTCACAACCCTAAACTGGGCCCCTATCCTAAACTGAGAACTAACTCCAAGTGAGATTACCCAAGAAAACCCGAGCAAAATATATTTAACAGCAGGTTTTCTTTTTTTCTAACTGCATCTGTGTCAGGGAAATTGACATCATTTCACTTTTGTTTGGCCCTGGTTTTGCCTTCTTTTTAAACTGTCCAGGCCTAAAGTGCAGCATGTTGGCCATGGGTCTAGTCACAGTCCCATCTGCCCGCTTAGCTACCTTCTCCTTGACACCCTCTGACCTTCTCCATAGAGCCCCTCCCTTCCTGTCCACTAGGCTTGCCCTCCCCCAGTTTCTTAGACCAGACCTTCAGATCACCAGACCAACTAACCTGGCCACACCCAGTTGAGATGAGTCAGCTTCCACAGCTGACCGGACCAGCCTGCCAATGGGGAATCTGATGCTGCTACCCCACCCACCAGAATTACACCTGCACCAGCAATGCCCGCCACCTCCCCCCACCCCAGCTGTGTTTAATTGCAGACATTCTTTTATTAAATAACTGTAGAGAGGGAGTTTTCTTCATTTTGGCTGATTCAGTTTAAGCTGAAAAAGCAATAAAACTTTTTTTGAGTGTCTAGTCATGAATAAATAAACATCATTTACTCCCCCTCCCCGCCAGTCTTCAACACACCTGTCTCAAGAAACTCATCCACTCCATGGTTTCAATTCCTGTTTGTACCTGATTATCCAAAACAGATCTGTTCATCTCAGTCCCCTTCCTCTTCACAGTTTGGTCCCAGACTCTTTTCCCAGCCCTATCACCTGTTCTCCTCAGCCTCCTCCATAGCGCCCATAGCTGTGCTCTAACCCTGAGCATCCTGCCACTCTATTATAACTGCTCCTGTGAGAAGTCTTCCACTGAGCCCTAATAACTCAATGCCATAGACTGTTTCTTATCTACCTTCTTTCACTCTGTTTCTGTACTTAGTAGAAGTTAGATAAACGTTGGTTCAATGAAGAAAATAATCAGTAGAGGAAGACTAATAACTAGCAATATAACCCGGTATTTCAAATTTCTCAAATTAGCCTGACAGTAATCATTAAATTTGAAATCCTATATTTTATACTTTTTGCTAAAATGTACTGGGCACTTATTACATGCCAGGCACTGCTCTGAGATTTTTACAGCATTTCCTCATTTAGTCTTCATAATCCACACATCTTCCTGTGAGAAAACTGGGACACAGGAAGATTATGAAGTCACACCCATTGTAATTGGCAGGGTCAGGGTTTGAATCCTGGCTGTCTGCCTCTACAGCTCACATGTTTAACTGCTGTTCTGTTCACTTTCTGATAAGCCCAGGAAGTATACCTATAAAGCACAGTTTTATGAACTTACAAAAACTTCAATGACATAACAGATAGCTGGACTCCTTCAGTTCTTGTGTATGAAAGTTACTGAGAAATTGAGTCATTTTTCTCCTAAGATTCCTTGTGACAAAATAAATTTAGAAAAGAAATTCTGGTGCAGAAGGAAAGAGGTGACAAGTATGTTGAATATTCCACAGACCAGATCACCGGAGGTACAGGCCTAATTACCTTGTAGGGGGTTCATCCTGCCTGTCTGTCAGAACTAAGTAACAAGTAGGCAGTAAGATTCTACCAGCTTAGCCATGGAGCATTGTCCTTCTTCTAAAAAATAATGCATCTCAACATTTACAGACATAAAAAACCACAAACGAATAAGTAGATATTAATAATTACGAGAAAAAACCCATAAACTAATATGTAGATTTTCAAAATAAAAGTCCATAGGCATTAAGTATCTTTATTTCTACAGATCTAAACATTTATAAGTCCATTTTTGAAAACACAAAAATAAAACACAGTTTAAATCTGTAAGCAAGTATCTGTTTATTTTCAGTTTTTTCTTGTACCTTTCGCCTATGTGATGAAGAGAAAATATGCGTATTCCAGTTCAGAATAGAAAGCTGATGCAGCTTTCACCGTAAGTATAAAAAGGAATATGTGAACTAGAAGAGGATATTGTTTAAGAATGGATTTAAACACTGCCAAATAAAATTGTTTTTCATAAGCCTTGCACAGAAGCAGAACTGTGTGTTTTATACTAACAGTTCTGATCAAAGAAGAAACTGTTCCTTTTAAAGAGCTGGCTTTGGAAATAGAAACATTGTTCTTTGGTGCGGGAATAGCCACCTTCTGTCAGGAGTACACGTAGATGGTTAATTCTCATCCACCGCTGATTTATTCATGCGACGCTGACTTTCTAGCCGGGTAGCATCAGTTCAGCTTTATTGAGGTTTTTGCTCATCTCCTCTTACTCTTACTTTGCTTGCAGCCTGCACTTTAAGAAGTAACTGTGTGGCACCAAATATTCATCACTCACTCCCATGGTCCAGGAGAGCCTGAGAGAATACACTGTTCTGGCCTGCACTCTCTGTCAGTCTAAGGCATTATTAGTCTCTGAACACAGCAGTTTGCAGAGAGGAGTAAATGGCAATATGGGAAATTAAACACTTTCTGTCTAGAGCAGGTCTT